GTTTAAGCAGCATGTTTTTGTCACCATTACTACTCTGTTGGAAGTAAAAAAAAACAAAACATATATACTAAGAGGAGTGGATTTGGGTAAGCCTAAAATCCACAAAATATGGAAATCATTTATTTTTCCAATATGCCCTAAGGGGATACTCACACAAGTATGGGTCAAGATATATAGCTGGGAATAATCAGCATACTGATGAGACCTAATCTCATATCAAGAGAGGGCTTCACTGGACCGCATCATATAAAAGGGGTGAAGGAGTAGGGATTCAAGTTGAACCTCCTCAGTATCAATGCCAACTGGAATTAGCCATGGAGGAAAGGGTCAACACTATGTCCTATTTCCAGTCTCTCTAGTCAGTCCACTCAGTACCATGAGTTATGGTATTGAAAACTACTGAGAGATTAAGGAAAGTCAGGAGACATGTCTCACTCTCTTCCCCATATCACCAGAGATCATCAACAAGTGCAATCAATGTTATAAGAAAAAAAAAAATAGAATATTTAAAGGTGTTTAAGTTTCCCGGAGCAGCACATAATGGTTTTATTCCAATTTCCATGTTTGCCAAACCCATTTTCCAGTTTCTTCATCTGGCTTTCTCCAGTAGGTTACTAATTATATCTATATTCAGATGAACATGAATAGGATAGCCTTTTAAGGTCTTGTGATATATGGTGAGTAAGGATCCCATGGGATTAGCCCCCCTTCCCACCTGATCCTTATCAACATGTAAATTACAAGATCAGCTTTAATAATGGTTATTTCATAATCATGATATGAGAGATGGTAAATGTATTCTTCAAATCAATGAGGTCACTCGCTTTGAAAGAGATGGTAATGAAGAATAAGAAGCCATTTTAGTAGATCTGTCTGGGGCATTCAATGTTGTCAATCCATGTGAGGTTTAGAAACAGGATATCTTTTCTGAGTGGATAGTTCCAGTTTGTGGTATTGGGGGAAGACAACTTCAGCTCATGGGCACTTCAGGATTGGGAAACCTCAGGGCTTAGCCATCCCCCATTCTTTTCAAATCTATATGAAGCTACTTGGGAAGATCATCCATTTGTTTGGTGCTAATCGCAATCATATGCAGATGATACCAATTTGATATCTCTAATCTAAGCTAAGTAGGAGATATAGTGAAAATCATATACTGGTGCTAGGACAACTGGGGGCATTAGACCTGACTCAGACGAAATCCAAGCAAGATAGAGGTTGGCACAAAACATTGTGCTAGAATGAGTAGTTTGCAGGGGTGGGATTCAACAGGTGTTACTACCGGTTTGGTGATTACGTTTTGTGGTGGCTCACAATGCTGGACTAATGATTGGCAGGCTTGCATTTGATACCCAGTTGCTGCTGCGAAATGGGATGGGTTCCTGTCACATATTCGCTAGCTCCTGTCAACCCAGCAGTTGGAAAGAGGGTGACCGCAAGTAGATAAAAGGGTACCACATCCGTGGGCAATTTAATGGGGATATAAAAGGAAACCCCAATGGCAACAATAATGTCACCATTCAATCCCTTCAACCCAGAAGTGCTTTGGTGCTCTCGACTGTAGTAGTAGCCTTAATTTTTTTGAATGGTGGAATTAGATGTTTCATTCTTTATAAACTATTGAGAGTTTTTGATTGCAGTGCTCTAAAAGTTCTATAAAGAAGTCAAGAAAGACCAACTTTTCAAGGACCTATTTCCTGGACATATGCATAAGCAGGCTATTTCACATGACGATGGGTACAATCTTCCTAAAAGCATATGTTCTCCACTCCTCTACTCGTTGTAGAATACCTTATGCCACCAGACTTGAAATTCTAGAACTAGAAAACCTTGAATTACGCCGTCTTCGGTCTGATTTAAGCATGGTATATAAAATCATACATTGCAATGTCCTACCTGTCAATGAATACTTCAGCTTCAACCATAACAACACAAGAGCACACAATAGATACAAACTCAATGTTAACCGCACCAAACTTGATTGCAGGAAATATGACTTCAGCAATAGAGTGGTCAATGTCTGGAATACTCTACCCGACTCTGTAGTTTCTTCCCCAAACCCCAAAAACTTTAACCTTAGACTGTCTACTATTGACCTCACCCCTTTCCTAAGAGGTCTGTATGGGGCGTGCATAAGCGCACCAACGTGCCTACCGTCCCTGTCCTATTGTTTCTCTTATTCTTCTTTTATTTTTCTTATATGTACCCATTTCATGTATTCACAACTATGTATACACTTATACTTATTATCTTGTAAACAATTGGCAAATCAAATAAATAAAAATAAATAAATATCTTGACAGAGGCACACTGGCCATCAATAATACCTGCGCTTTGAAAGGTATTGTTTTACCTATCTGCTAATGTACCAGTATACTGAGGGATACAATGGTAGTGTTTATCATTACAGGGTAAGTACTGATTTATGCCCAAAAGATGTATGTCCTACAGTATAATAATATTGTTTAGTATAGTTCAGTTCTTTAAAATAGAAACATGCACTTTTAATTGCTACTTATTTCAAGGAAAACAAGTTAGTTAAGCAGAGGCGTCTGGTAGTGCAAGGATATTGGAATAATTTATAAACTCATGATCAGTGATGGGATTCAAAAAAAATTATTACCAGTTCTGTGGGCATGGCTTGGTGGGCCTGGCTAGGTGGGTGTGGCCATGTGACTGGGTGGGCATGGCTTTTTTGCAGCAAACCCCCCCCCCCAATTTTTGGGGCCTTCTGGGCCTCAGGCAAGCCTCCTGTGGGGGAGGCATTTTTGCTCCCAGGAAGCTTCCCTGGGGCTCAGGAAGGAAAAAAAAACAGAGCCTGGAGTGGGGTGCAGCACCCCAAGCTTCATTTTGGGACCTTCTATGCCTCAGGGAAGCTTCCTGGGGGAGTGTTTTTGCTCCCAGAAGGCTTCCCCAGGGCTCAGGAAGGAAAAAAAAAACAGAACGGGATTTTTTTGCTTTCCTGAGCCTCAGGAAAGCTTCCTGGGTGAAGCAGTAAGTAAACGAGGGGAATCCCAGCACAGCTGATTGTAGGAACAGCTGGTTGTCAGGAGGGGGAAAAAAGAAATACATTAAAGAGTGATTGGGTGGGGCGAACATCAGGTGGGCAGAGTGAGCGAGAATTGGGCAGGTGGGGCAAGCAGGCGACTGGGTCGGGGCGCGGCCAGCCAGAAGTTACTACCAGTTCGGGGACCCATGCCAAATCCTTGCTACCAGTTCACTTGAACCGGTGTGAACCAGCTGAATACCACCACTGCTCATGATTGATAAACTTTAGGAAAAAAAATTCTTCTAACATGGCGTCCTCCACATATATTGGACCTCAGTTCTCATTCTTTCAACTTTGCATAGGTGGCATTAGAAATTATGGGAGTTAAAGTAAATCTAGAACTAAGCACAGGTTAATTAAAAATACTACATGAAACTTGTAATTAAAGAATAGTGTGTGATTTCTCTGAATTGCTTCAAGAGTAGGAAAAATTTTCTAACGACATAAATGTCACATATTCCTTATGATGTCATCTTTTGCGATTTAATGAACTATAAGAAAGGAGGCTTCAGATCACTGCAGAAATGCCTGTACAATGCGAGTAGGATATTCACCCAGACTCTTTACCAACTGCACAATAAATGAGTGCAGGACACCATAGCCTTAGGAGAACTTATCTTTTACTTGGAAATTATTTTGAAAGCAAAATCTCTTATCAAATTAATGGGAACTGGTAGAAGAAAAGAACAAGTAAATTTATCTGTCCAATGCTAAATTAAATAAATGTGGAGTAATTCAGGTTGGGGAAGGCTGCTTGAAAATGTCCTGATGAAAGGGAAAAGGGGCAGCACTAATAGATAAGCCAATGTTTGACTAACAGTTATGTCAGTCTGCTGTTTCATGCCTGCTATTGTAGTACCTTTTTCTGTTCCCTCTGCATACTCTGCCTTTGGAAGTTGTGTTTCATTTTAGTTCCTTAGTAAAGACATATTAACAATCTACAACTCATTTGCACTCATTAATCAGTTCTTTCCTATTTTTCCTGGTTATGGCTATTGTTACAATTATTCAATTCCTTTGCAGACCCACTTAGCCAAAGAGATCTATTGGCAACTCAGTATTTTGTTATCCTGTTTTTATTTTGCCTTCTCTCAATAACTTTCCAGACCTCTTTCTAAAATGAAAGTTTCTCTTTTCTTTTTTTTTGAAAAAGAAAGCGATGCATGCTGTTTAATAATAAATAACTTTTCTCAAAACCAGGGGATTAACCAACTGAAAGAAAGCTCTGCTTTATTGTTCAGTACATCCTAATCACATTCATAAGAGCCTGTCATTTACTTGCACCAGGGCTTCCTCCAGTGGTCAATTACTTCACTTTCAGACTTTCTACATTACAAAGTCTGTTTTCTCCTCAGTAGATAATATAGGCAATACAGGTATAAAATGAAATTGTTGGTGAAATGTTTGCTGGGATAACCAACTGCCATCAAAAAGTATAAAGCATAGCTCAGTTTTCTTTGCAGGAGGGCCTTCCTTCCTTCTTTCCTCCCTCCCTCCCTCCTGTATATCTATTGATTTATTCACTGGATTTATAAGCCATCAATCTCTGTTTTGACTGAGGTGATGCTCAATATTTAGTAACTTTAAGACAATATAAAGCAAATATTAAAACAATATTAAAACAAAATAAACATCAGATATCTAGGAAAATAATATTATTACCAATAAACTAATATTCTTTGTAGGGATTTCTGCCACTCACTCTGGCCCAAAGTGGAGAAAAAGCCAAATTTTAAAGGCTTATATAAATAAGCAATATGAGTCTCTGGTGGAATATAATTCCAGAGGGCAAGCATACAACAAGAAGATCCCCTTCCTGGTGGCAGTGTTTTTAATCAACGGGGCACAGAGCAGGCCAAATGTGCTATAACATATAGGATGGGTAGCAGTTATAGGAGAACAGAGGATCTGCATATAATCATGCTCTATGCTATGAAGGACTGTATAGGAGATCTTTCAATTCTAGTGGGAAGTCTGCTGGTAATAGTGCAGTTCATGCAGCAAGAGTGTTACATTGACATATTTTTGAAATGCCTACTGTCTATGTGGCTGCATTCTGGCCCAGCTGCAGCTGGTCGTTAAGACACTATGTCTTCAAGAGTAGCCCCATCTAAAGCACATTGCAGCAGTTTGGAGAAGAGAGCATGAATGATTCTCTAATGGGTTTTGTGGTCTAAATATGGACATAATTGGCACCCTAGATGGATTTTAGCAAGTTTTTCCTGGAGCTGTGACTCCAAGAGGACCCCTAACTAGTCCTATAGGAGGAAAATGCAACCCTATTCAAAACTAAAGGTAGAACAGCTGCAGATCCAGATGGTTCAAACATTCCATCTACTCAGGTTTGTCAAGGATGAGGCTTAAGGCTGTTCCTCTCCATCCAAACTCCCCCATTCTCCAGACATTGAGACAAAACAGTGATAGCATCACCTGATTGGCCTATACACAGGATTCACGACTGGGTATCACTAGCCTATTGGTGCCATCTGACTGCAAATAAATAGATGTCCTTCCCAGGTCATCTAAAGAGGAGGAGTGATAGTGAAGAGCTCAGAGGTACCCCATATGTCAAAAAATGCTCAATTACTCTCCAACTTCAGGATAAGCAGAATAATTGCACTTTGTATCTGGCAAAAGACCAACAAATGTTCTATGAGCTGTTCTGATGCCTAAGTCAAATGGGTCTAGATAATCTGTATTCGCCAATGCCTTCTGAAGCTAACATTTTCAGCATCGTTACTCAAATATACTCAGGAGAAGAAAGGCTGAAGATCAAAAAGTGAATGGGACCATACCAATTAGTAGGCGAGATTGAATTTGGAGTAGTTTGGATTTATTTATTTTTGTAATTGTGATATTCCAAGGGTTATGCTTTTACCATACATTCCATGCATATCCTTTCACAAAATGGCCAGGAAGTATGCCAGATGTGATCTTGAAGGCTCTGGGCTTCACTCCATTTTGTAATGTTATTAGGCCTTAGAACCAAAATGAATTTTTTTGGGACTCTCACATAACAATAGGAGGAGGCAAGTGCTACTGTGGGTGAAACAATTATCTGACATACTGTAGGTGGGGACTGTTATAAATAGGAAAGAATTCTGTTTTGCGGGTCTTTTCTCTCAGAGTTTATATAGGAGGGGGAAGGTAAATATTTTAAAAGTTATTTTAGTTTTAAACTATGCTAAATCTGTTTCTTGGCAGTCATGATAACTGTCATTTCTTTCTTTAGCTAAAGAAAAAAGTACCGTAACCCACAGGTTTTCAGAAATAATGTCAAACAAGCATCATGAGACTGCAAAAAATAACTTTAGTAGCCTCCTGCAATTGTAGAACTAAGGGTTATTCACCCTATTTGAAAGGCTATCACGAGCCACAGAAGCATACCTTTACACCCTTTTCCCTGCTGAACAGTTCCCTCAAAAAGATTGCTTCAGGGTTTGAGCTTTGTTTGCTCTCTCCCTCACGTCTATGCTTTGTTCACTACCATTGTTCACTTTTTGTTATGCTCTTGACCTATAAAATCAGGACATCCATCTGTTTTATCATTCTGGACAGTCAGTGCTGCAGAAATGACACGGACAAAAGAATGACAAGCAGCTCCACTTTCCCTGAGGGATGGAGTGAGATGCAGTAGAATGCAAATAAGTCCTTCCTTCCTTCCTTCCTTCCTTCCTTCCTTCCTTCCTTCCTTCCTTGCACTTTGACATTTATTGACTACCAATTACCATTTCACTTTTACTTGGAATGACTTCTCCAGAGACCCGATAGTAATTCTCACGCAAAATCTAGACATTTAAAATCTCTATTTTACAGGATTTCGAGTAGGGACTAAAGCACCCATGTATTTCCTCTTTATGTGTGTTTACATTTTAGTGCACTTTGCCCTGCTACTAATGAATTTAAAAAAAAACAAAAACTCAGGACATAATTTTTCAAATAATAAAAGTAAAGGTTTCTTTGCCAGTTGTATCTGATTCAAGAGCATTGTGCCCATATCCGTTTCTTGGCCAATGGAGCCAACATTATCCAAAGACAATTTCCATGGTCAAGTGATCAGCATGGCTCTATCCCAAGGCTCACAGAACGCTGTTACCTTCCCACCAAAATCTACTTGCACTTGCACATTTTTGGACTGTGGGCAGAAGCTAGGGCAAGTAACAGGAATTCATCCCACTGCATGGAGCTCAGGTCTCATACCCAGGCTATCAAGCTATCCAGCTGAGAAGCTCGGGGTCTTTAATTGCTGAACCATCATGCCCCTTTGTATTTGTGCTCATAATTTGAAAAATGTACATTTAATATTTGTAATAGAAGAAAATAATTTCTTTTTAATTTCACAAAAGTTCCCCATGTCGATCATCTGGAAACCAATCCTTATTTATCATTACTGACCAGATAATGTCTATTGTTTATAAAGTTAGATCACAACAGCAAGCATTTTTCTTATAAAATTGTCCTTTAGTGCAATTTAAGAGAAAACCAAGTTTTATTTCCATCTAGTCAGCCCATAGGGGTTCTGCCTGTTATTGAGTCTTTTAGAGAGCAAATGGGGGTTAAAAACATTTCCTCCCAACTCCTTTTAGCTGTCCCTAACACGTGGGACATTTTCAATCTCCAGGGCTGTTTTGAAATACTACATGATACCAATAACAAAATGCCCTGTGCTACTAGCAGTTTATAAGTGAAACCACAATTGAAAGAGCAAGCTGTTCTTGCAAACACTCCAGGGAGAAGTGGTAGTAAAGAGAATAATGTTTTTCCTAAATAGAAAAACTTTGTTAGGGAATTTTATGGACTTCTGAAAGGCAGTGCAATATATAGTATTTCAAATGCCAAATGATTACTACTTTCTATTTGGAAGGAAGGCCAAAAAAGAAAAAAAAAAAAAGAGGAGGGGGAGGGGAATAATGAGAGACAGCCAGCTAGTTTAATTAGCAGTGCAGAGGTGAAACACTTGATGACAAAAGTGATTCAATTTTGGCTGTTTAAAAAAGAAACCAAAACTAAAAAAAAAAGCCCAAATAGAATCTAGGCAACCATTTCAAAGAGTTAATGTATTACTTGTCACACAGGTTGTTATGGGATTGACATAAAACAGAATTTACCTGAGGTTTTGTTGAGATATGTTGACATCTTTTTCTGAGCTTGATCTGTTGTGAAGTATCTTGGAATGAGGCAGTTCCCCTCTTTTTTAATTGCTTAATTTTTGTTGAAGAGATTTTTACAGAATAAAAAAAAACACATCCAAAATTAAAGAAAAATAAAGAAAGGTGACAAGTGAATAAATAAGTCATAAAAAAAAGAGATATAGAGAAGTGGATTTTGATTTTCTTTGCTCTTGTTATATTTTACCCTCTATATCAGCGTTCTCCAATCTTTCTGGCTTGGTGGCCTGGCTGTGGGGGGGATGAAGGGTGGAGATGGGATGGAGTTTCATGCGTGTTTGCTCTCCCACTGTGCATGGAAATGGAGCTGTGTGCGCTCTTGCCCGACACTTCTGTGGCCCGGTTCTAAACAAGCTGCAACCTGGTAGTTGGCCCCAACTCGGAGGTTGGGGACTCCTGCTCTATATAGTTACAGTACATCATGGCTCCCTTATTTCCATTTTCTACCCTTTCTAATTGTCAAACTCATCAATCACCGGTTCTTGTTTTTCTGTTTTCAATAAAAGAGTCATAAAGAGTTTCCCAGTCAGTAACAAATGTAATTGTTGTCCTTTCCTTAGTCAAGCAAGTCAATTTTGCCACCTCTGCAAATTCTGTCATGTTCACCAACCATTCCTCCATTATGGGTATTTCAGACAAAGGTTGCCCACTCCTGACCTATCGTGTGATCCAAGGAAAAGGGAGGGAAGCAGAGACAGACATAAACCTGGAAAAAGTAGGTGTGGGCTCCATTGTTTTAATGTAGCCCAAGCTCTAAACAGACAAGGCCCAACTTCACTAGAGAAAAAATAGTAACATCAGTACTAATTTGCTTTGAGACTTGAGTGGCTCATATGCCCTCCGAATCTTTACAACTAAATTGGAGCTAGTTAGGGGAGAGGAGCAATGAGTGAGTGTGCTGAGTAGTCATGTTGTAATGGCAGGGGTTGCCTGACGCACATGGTTCACCCCGTCTAACACTTTGCTGTGTAATTTCATTTAGGTATGTAGTCTGTGAGCGCTCCTTTGAGAGAGCCTTGCAAGCTGTCATGGCTCTGACTCATCAACCTCTGTGAAAAGCTTCAATCAAATTATCAGAAGGTGTGAGGGAGGGGAGATTTGTAGTAAATTCCCTTCTACTGCTCTCTCCTCCTGTCAGCATCAATCAGCAGTTCCAAAAATAGGGATGATGCTCTGGAAGCTGCTGAAGAAGGAAAGGGAAAAATTGACAGTGCTTACACCTACATTCACTAAGGAAAGAAGAAGGAGGGACACAGTGTCAACACATATAAATCAGGGCGTTTTCATTTAGCTTAGGGCTGTCTGAACTTCTAAGGGCTGCTTCTGTGCTTATTAATTTGTTAATAAAATGATATATGCCCCACCTGAAGTTTTTGATGCTTGTGGACAGCAGGTAGCTATAAAAGAAGGATTGCCATAATGTCCCACTCAGTATATTTGGGGATCTTGTTTGTCCACAGCAACTGACAGTGGGTCTCCAGGGTTTCAGCCAAAGGATCTTTCTCATTTGCATGAGGACTTTTCACTGATAGAATCTCTAATTTTATGCATGAAGATCATGTATGCTGCAGGAATGCCAAGATCTTTATCAACCACAATTCATACAGGATCCCATGAATTAGGCTCAACGTTGTGAAAAGCTGTTCTGAGTTGATAGTGACAGTTGCCACATCCATTTATGGAGAGCCCCCATCATCGTCCCTTTTGGGTCATTGTCTTTGCTTTGGCAAAGAGGAACACGAAACTTAAAGCAGCTGCTTTGTTCCTTTCTAATGTCAAGCAATCCATTGCTGGAGGAGTCAGG